TGCTAGAATTCCTTGCTTCTGGCCACATCACTATGACCTCTGCCTCTGTCATCACATCTACTTTTCTGACTCTGACCTGTCTGCTTCCTGCTTAGAAGGACACTTGTGAATATACTTGTGTGACCTTCGCAGAAAATCCAGGATAACCATTCCATCTCAAGATCCTCAACCTAATCATGAGTGAAGCTTTTTGCCATGTAAGACAACATAATCATAGGTTCCAAAGATTAGAACATAAACATATTTGAAAAAAGTGTTAGTCACTCAGTAGTATCAGACTCTTTGTGACCCTGTGGACTGCAGCCTGCCAGGTTCCTCTGTCCATGAAATTCTCCAGGCAAAAATACTGGAGTGGGTAGTCTTTCCCTTCTCCAGGGGTCTTCCCAACCCAGGGATCAATCCTGGGTCTCCCGCTTTGTGGGCAGATTCTTTACTATCTGAGCTAATCGGGGAGCCATTATTCTTGGTACCACAAAATCCATCACAAACAGGAGAGAGGTCCCTCTTTATCATGTGATTTGAGAGCATTTAGAAAACTATATCAATTAATACTGACCCAGAAGTTGTCAGTGGCTTTGAGTTGCTAGTAATACTCCTGTCCCTCCAAGAAAAAGATGGTGAGCTAATAAAATCCTAGACACAAGCACCACTAACCCCACCCAGTCTTCCCACAGTAGAAAGCTGGAAGGACTTTAAAGATTTCTTCCTTGTCTTGGTTCCCATGAAAATTAGAATGCTAAAAACATGTTGGCAAATTGAGTTTTTCAGGAAAAGAAGTGGCAGCAAAAGGTAAGAGACATCCAGGGAAATGGCAAATTTTATAAAAAGAAAAAATCTGATATAAAACAAAATGTCAGGACTTGGGAAAATCACTTTTAAAAAAAGACTGATTAATTGATTGATTTAGTCTATTTATTTTTTGGCTGTGGTGGGTCTTTGTTGCTGCACCTGGGCTTTCTCTAGTAGCAGCAAGCCAGGGCATCTCTTTGTTGCATTGTGAGGGTTTCTCATTGCAGCAGCTTCTCTTCTTGAGAAGCACAGGCTCTAGCGACAAAGGCTTCAGTAGTTGCAGCTCATGAGCTCAGTAGCTGTGACACACAGGCTTAGTTGCTCCGAGGCATGTGGGATCTTCCCAGACCAGAGATCAAGCCACTCTCTTGCAGGCAAGGCAAATTCTTAACCACTGAAGCACCAGAGAAGTCCAAAATCACTTTTTAAAGTGACAAATCACCTTAGTGATAACAAATCACTAAATTGGTATTACTAATTTAAGAAACTTTAGCCATGCATGGAGGCTGGAATCAGGAGGCAGGACGAGGGGACAACTGGGCTATTCACCCTCTGTCTCATGCCCTACACACCTTAAAATGTAGCTGCAATTAACCAAAAACTGGGGAAAACCCAAATGTTCAACAGGTGATGAGATAAACAAGATGTAGCATATCCATATAGTTGAGTACTACCCAGCTATAAAACCAGAACAAATTAGGGACTTCCTGGTGGTCCAGTGATTGAGAATCCATCTTCAAATGCAGGTTTGATCCCTGGGTGGGATTCCACATGCCTCAGGGCAACTAAGCCTACTGCATGCTGCAACTAGAGAAAAGACTACACATCACAATGAAGAGCCTACATGCTGCAACTATGACATGATGCTGCCAAATAAATACAATTTTTTTTTAATTTTAGAAAGGGGGAACAAATTACTGATACAGACAACAACATGGTTGAATCTCAAAATCATTATGCTATGTGAGAGAAGCTAGACACATAAAGGGTAAGTATTATATGATTCTATGTGTATAAAATTTTAGAAAATGCAACCTAACCTGTAGTAATAAAAGTAGATCAGCAGTTACCTGGGATCGAGGACTGAGAGACGGATGAACTGCATAAGACATGAGGAATAACTGGGGGGACAAAGGGCAAGAGATGGAAATCCTGCATTTTCAATGAGATGGAGGCTATATGGATGTGTACAAGACTCGAATTGCATATTCTGAGTGCAGTTTACTGTATCTAGTTTATACCTCAATAAAGTTGATTTCTTAAAAATTTGGCTCCTTTTCAGTGGTAAATTTGTGCTGAGAAACATGGTAAGGCTAGAGCTCAAATGATCATGTTAGCCTTGAACTGTAGCCTCTACAAATCTTTATAAAATTCACAGCTCCTCCAATTGCTTATCATTATCATAGATGGTATGCCAACTTCCTAAGTGGTGGAAATTGGCTTCCCAGATGACAATCCAGGAATAGAGGATATATGATCTCCCTGTAGTACTTCTCCCTACAGAGAAGGTACAAAAACAACCCTCTCTCCTGGAATGGGGTACAGTCCCTGAATATTCACCCAATCCATATTTAAAAGACTGTTCAACTGTCCATGATCCTTTCATGTTATAGTCTACTACCTGAGGAGTCACTTGACGTGTAGATTTTTGTGTTTAACCTCTGTAATAAGTTACATTGGTATTTTGCATTTTATTTCGTTCATTTCAACCAGTTGTGGAACAGGTTTATTTCAGGCCTGTTCAGGCCTGAAGAGACCAAATATTTATTCACATGTCCCCAGGACAGTGTTTGTGTTTGTTTTGTAATACTTTGATAATATTTTGATATACTTATGAGGTTTTGGCAGTTTCATTTGGTATATTTTTAAAGTAATTACTGCCTAATTACATGCCAAATTTGTTCAGAAAATAACTTAGTAAATATAGCATTGTATGCACATATACTAATACCGTCTGCCTGCCCACTGGAAACACATCCTTTATCACCTCCTCTCTTTACCATAAGCACATTCCACAGGATATCCCAGCTACATTTCAACTACAACCTTTATGCCAACCTAGAGGGTGATAAACCCAGAATAACTTCTCAGTCCCAGTCCTCTTCCCTGAATTCAAGACACAAAATCTAAGACCCTCCTAGACACCGCACAGGCTCCTCATATTCTACATTCCCAAAATTAGCTCATCATCTCCCTAAAATGCCAAGTTCACATTGCTCCCTCTATTCCCTCTTTTCATCAGAGGCAACACTTTCCACCTGTTCATCCAGTCGAAAAACCCATAAATCATCCTCAACTCTCTATTTTTCCTCAATCCCCCAAATCAGTTAGTACCTGTGACAAAAGCTCTCAGGTTGATTCTTTTTCATTCATCACACTTCCTGTCTTACTTCATGCCCTTTATGTCTCACATAGACATTAAACAGATCTCATAAATGGCCTTTTTCTCTCTCCCCAACCTCATGCTCCTCCCCTCCTCCTCCACTGCACTATCACCAGAACAGTTTTCATAAAGGACAAGTGAAAACCTCTTGGCAGTCAAAGCGCTTCATGATGCATCCTTGCTTACCTTTCCAGCCTTGTCTGCTGTTATATCTCCTAGAACTTCTTTTTATCCACTTACAATTCTTTGCCAGCCCATCTGTATTACGCCACACTCTCTCATCTTTCCAATGCCTTTGTGTATGTTCTTTCTTTGGTCTCTTTTCCTTGCAAGCTATCTCCTGTTTATATATCCTTCAGGTGACAGCTCTGAACTCTCCAAGTGACTCTAGATGGCCTCCTACACTTCTACTCTGCCCTCCTATAACCTACTTTTATCATAGAATTCACCCACCCTGCACTGATACCTTTGTGAATGGGCTCTGCACTAATTAAGAAAAAGCACTGCCTAGTTTTTTTCTGTTTCCAACACCTTACAAAGGAACATAGTAGGGGTTCTGCTTTTTGGACAAATTAATTAACCACATCGAAAAGACAGCTCACAAAAAAACTCTATAAGGGAAGAGAAGATGATGTTAAAGATCCTTATACATGTTTCCTTAGTTCTAGAGATTATGGAAAGGATTCCTCCTTAGACTGCAAATCTTTAAAGGTTTTAACAACTTTAGTTTGCTTTTAAAAAAGCAAGAGAGCTTCTCTTAAACTACTCAATCCTGTGATAAACAAGACAGTGCGATTTTTCCCCACTCCATACGCATTATAATGCACTTACCCTTTCTCACTGCTAATCTGAAAGGGTTTTCACGGGAGGAGAGGAGGACAATCTTTAAGAAATCATACATAATTAGATTCTAAATTGAAAGTTTCAACCAAGGCACCAAGATACACTAGTATGATATTCCACAGCAAAATCTGAGATCAACATCCAAATTTTCAATGAAATACTCCAAACACTGGTTATATGGCTGTTAAATTGAACCTCTGCTGCACTGAAGGTATCCTCGGGCCTTTTAAAGACCAAGAGAGCTTCAGGGAAATTTCTTTGGAGCAGAGGTCACTTCCCCTCAGGTCAAGAGAGTAAGGCCTCAATCACCCAGAGCTAAACAGCATCTCTCCAGAAAAAGTTAAGAAGAGACAGAGGACCATCCCTGCTGACCAGAAGACAGTATCAAGGTTGGGGTCAGCCTGCCTCCAGGGAGTCTCTCACCAAAAATCCAGGCCATTCCCAAGAGAGAGTAAGCCTGGGGTTGTCTGGACACCAAGTGATAAAAAGAGATTGTATTTGATGATGAAATTCAACCACAAGAATAAGCAGAAACGTATTGGGATGACTAAAAGTTCACCCAGAAGTGAAGGAAGAACTTCCCCAGGGAGGAAATACTAAAAGGAGGGGATGACCAAATACATTTGCCTTCTGACTCCAGTCCATTCATGCCACTTTGGGCAGCTGACTGGTTACACACAATTCTGCCCCGACTGAAGTCCTCCCAGAGCCAATAGCTGTCCTCCAGCTGGGAAGGAACATTGGAACTCCTTCAAAAAATTAAGGTAACCGTGCTCTTTATGGGCAGATGGAGACTGGAACCTGGCTACTGAAGAGCATAAATACAAACATACTGGAGAAAGAAGTGAGAACTACTTCCCAAATGAAACATCCATAAAAAGAAAATCCATTTTGCTCCGCAATCAATGCCAGTGAAAGAAAGTTGTCGCCTAAGAAAAGTAAGATGAGAGGAGGGAGGAAGGAGAGAAACACCCATGACTCTTACCCAGGCCCTGATTCTGCTGTTCCCACTGGATGGCATCTGGCATCTGGAATGTGACTCCCTCCAAAGAGACCACGTTTTCCTGCTCTAAGCCAGGTTCCTGAGACGTGATGCCAGGGAGCGTGAACCCAGGCAGCTCGGTGTCACCCAAGGTCTCGTCCAGGGAGTCAGCATCTTTATCTTCCTCATCTTCCTCCTCATCTTCTTCCTCCTCATCTTCTTCCTCTTCATCCTCTTCATCTTCATCATCTTCTCCCTCTAGGAAAGAAGAAAGCAAAGGTAACATGAAGAAATACAGGCAGTGCATAAAATGAATCTTTTGAAATGACTTAAGCACTACAAAATAGACATAACTGGCCTTTTAAAACATATTTTATTGTCAAAGTTGAGCAAGAAAAGCTTGGCAGGATAGCATGCCCACCCTATACCTACATTTTAAACTTTCAAAACCACAGTTATGTCAGATAATTATCATGCATCATGTTTATTGGGAGTTAAAGTTCAGGTAATAGGGATTTTGTTAATGTCATATTTATATTTAAAAGGGTAGCAAACATTATCTTCCTGTTTTCTGGAGATCATTACAGATCTGTCTGTTAGAAAGCTCACTGAAATACTAATAGAATTTAAAAGAAGTGTCCCAGTCTCTTTCTATCTCATAATGCTAAACAAGAGAATTCATTATGTTGACATAGTTTTCTTTCTGCTCTTCTTCCACACCAGTGAGTAGAACTCACAACAATGTTAACTGAGAGGTACATAAATCCAGTCCTGCATCTGCTCTCCTTACAGAGGAAGGACCCAAGAAAAGGGGAAACGTCACATGAACGTTTTCAATCCAATTCTAAAGGGAATCGGGAAATGACACATTGATCAAGGACAGTCAGAAAAGAAACATGTGAGAAAAAAATCACTATCGTTACCATCATCTTAAGAGTTAAATACATAATGTGTCATCTGTGACGCTTCAAGAGGTGTAGGTTTAAGGAACATAGATCCCAATTTCATTTTATTTCATTAATGTTAATTTTCCAGGAATACTCTGAGCCTCCATCCACGTTATGAAGGCACTCCTGAAGCCCCCAACGAGGGCCCACAAAATCCATCGACGGCTTTCCCTTGGTCTCCCTCCTGGCTCTGAACAGTGGTGACCGTAACATGGAACTCTCTTTGACAGCTGAAGGGAAGACAGAGGATTAAAGCTACCTAAGAATTCAGAGACTCTCCTTCTTCCAGACAATTTTCTCCTTTACAGCTATCATTTACAGATTTTCTTAACTTAAAAGTTATTACTTCTAATCTTTTTCATTCTTATATATCCTTTAACTTCATAGGATTTAATACCTGCCCCTATTCCAAAAATTAAACAAATATTTAGCAAGCACCTAGTTCCAGGCACTAGGAATACCACAATAATGTCTCTGCCTTCGTGGAGCTGACACGTCACTCGAGAGACATACAGCAAACAAAGAGATATATAAATAGATATGCAATATACTGCGCTCTGATTAAAACCGGCAAGAAGACAGAAAATGCCAGGTGCTACTATTTTAGATGGCAAGATCAAGAAAAGTTTTTCTAATAAGGTAAAGTTTGAACAGAGATCATACCAAAATAATGAATTCTTTTGTTTAATTTAGATCATTAAAGATTCCCAGCAGAGGAGGAGAGGGGGAACAGCAAAGGCAAAGCCTTGAGGCATATGTCTGCTTACTGTGTTCAAAGAATGGCAAAGATTGGGCTGAGAGGCAGTGAGTGACAGAGAGAATACATGAAACAAGGAAACAGGGGTAAGCAGAGGCCATATCTAAAGCATATTTGTAAAGAATGGCTGGCTGCAGGGTGGAGAACAGGTTGTATTAGAGCAAGAGACAAAGCAAGGAGACATACAGGATGCTATTGCAAAACCCAGGGAATAGATGATGATGCTTCGGATGAGGGTACAGTCCTGGAAAAAAAGAGAGGTGATCAGACCTGAGATGTAATTTGAAGGTAGAGCCCTGTTGGTAATTACAATGTGGGATGTGAGAGGAAGATCTCACTTTACTAAAAATGAGAACTAAAGAGCCAAATCAAGAATTTTATGTGAAATATATTAATTGGGTGATGCTTGTGCCTATGACAGCCAAATGGAAATGCTGGAAGTCTAAGGAAGGTCAAAGCTAGAAATCAAAACCTAGGAGTCATCAACTTATAAATTATATTTAAGGCCTTGACACAGACTGAGATCATCAAGAGAACGAGAATGGATGAAAGGGAAGTGGGCCAGCCCAAGCCCTGGACAATCAAACATTCAGAGGTTAGCCAGCAGGGGGAGATCCAGCAAAGGAGACAGAGAGGTGACCACAGGAGAAAACCAAGACAAGAGAAGAAAACATTTCTGAGTAAGAAACTATGACTGTCCCTCTGGTTTAGACATGTGGGAAGTCATTCATGACTTTGACAACATTTGTATTCCTGGAATGTAGGGACAAAAGTCAGACAGAAGTGCTTTCAAAGTAAATTGGGGGAAAGGAAGCAGATATAGGTAGAGAAAACACAAGACATTTGGAAAAGAGAACAGGAACATTAGGGGATAGCTGGAAGGAGATATGGGGTCAAGGGTAGGTTCTGAAAGCAGAAACTGTTAGAATTTGCTTGTAATTGATAAGTAAGATCTGGTAGAAAGGAGGGAATTGATGATGCAGGAGGGAAGAGCAGCAGGAGAAATGTCCTGAGAGATGAGGTATGATAGAGAGATGATACACATGGACTCTAGAGCCACTTAAACTTAAGGCTGAGCGGATTCAGACAAATTACTGAATTCTGGTATGCCTCAGCTCCCTCATGGTAAAACTGGTATGAGTCCTACCACACAGGTGGTTGTAAGGATTACATTAGTTAACGTATCAGGTACTTAGAACTCAGCCTGGCACATAGTGTCCACCATATAAGATTGGCTTCTCTGCTATTCCGGAGAGGGGAAGGAATGCAGTGCATGGCCAGCTTGGACACATCCACCTCTGCAGGGGCACGGGTGCAGGTGGGTGGCTAGATTTGGTGGGGGGAGCATGTGAAAGCTGTCATATTTCTTTCCTTGGTCCAATACAAAACTGGTGGATGTGGTCAGATTGTCAGGCAACCCTATGAGTCCACGTTGAGTCCATCTGTAATGTTATAAATTTAAAGCAAAGCATACTAAGATGATCGTGTGTTTTTCTTCAGCCACATTACTGAATCGGTGGGTGGAGGAGGAGAGTAGGCAGAGACATTTAATCAGAGCCAAGTTTTGCTAGGAGAGCTCAGCTAAGGAAGGAGCAGTAGCTTGTGTGAAGAGAGTAATTATAAAGATGAACCAGAAAAGGATACAGACTCCCAACAATGTGATGTGTAATTTCTGGGGGTCTAACCTAAAGCATGGTGACTATGATTAACAACACTGTATTATATACTTGAAAGTTATTAAGACAACAGATCTTAAATAGTATCACCAAACCAAAAAATGGTAATTACTTGAGGGGATGGAAGTGCAAACTAAACTTACTGCAGTAATAATTTTACAATATATATACATATGTGTGTGTGTGTGTCAAATCATCACCTTATACACCTTAAACCTACATATGTTATATGTCATTAATATCTCAATAAAGCTGGAGGGGAAAAAATATGGGCCAGGGACCCCAGTTAAAGAGAAGCTGAGAAGGAAGGTGGATAGGAAAAAGTAACAGAGTCACTGGATTATGGAGAAAACTATCAGGAATCATTAAGGCTTTTTCACAATTTTACTGACCATCCTTCTGTAGACAGAAATTGGTGATGAGCTAAAAAGAAGATTTCTTTAAACTTTGTAAAATCACTTTTAGTTACTTTTCCTCTCCATAAACCTAGAGGGTTGTTCTTGATAGGAAAATCATGACAGTATGATTCTGACCCCCTGAGAACACAAAGGCGAAGCCAGAGCTCTGAGCCCTCGATTTCCAGCTTTTATCACTGAACCACTGTCCTCTGACCACCACCAACCACCAAGGATAACTTATACTTGGTCCTCAATGTGTTCAGTTAGCTCCTCCTCTTTAAAATACAGAGCTAAAACAGATACTGTATATTAATGCATATATGTGGAATCTAGAAAAATGGTACAGATGGTATTATTTGCAAAGCAGAAACAGAGATACAAACAGAGAGGACACAATACCAAGTAGAAAGGGGTGGGTGGACTGAACTGGGGGACAGAAACTGACACATACACCCACTATGGAAGTGTAGAGTGTTAGTCACACAGTCGTCTCCAACTCTTTGTAACCCCATGTAATGTGGCCCACTAGGTTCCTCTGTCTATGGTATTTCTCAGGCAAGAATACTGGAGAGGGTTGCCATTCCCTTCTCCAGGGGATCTTCCCAACCCAGGGATCGAACCCGGGTCTCCAGCATTGCTGGCAGGTTCTTTACCATCTAAGCCACCATGGAAGACAGCATATATACACCACAATGTATAAAAGAGATAACTAAAGAAAACCTACTATATAGCACAGAGAACTCTCCCAGTGCTCTGTTGACCTAAATGGAAAGGAAATCCAAAAAAGACAGGATAAAGGTATACACATGGCTGATTCACTTTGCTATACAGAAGGAACTGACATAGCAGTGCAAAGTAGCTATACTCTAATTTAAAAATAGTCAGCTAACCAGAGCTGCTTAGCTCTTTTTTATTTTATCATTATTATTATTATTTTTAAATTGGAGTATAGTTCCTCCACACTGCTATGTCAGTTCCTGCTGTATAACCAAGTGACTCAGCCATACATATACATGCATGTGTACTAAGTCGCTTCAGTCTCTGCGACCCTATGGACTGTAGCCCGTTAAGACCCTCTGTCTGTAGAAAATTCTCCAGGCAAGAAAACAGGAGTGGGTTGCCATGCCCATCTCCAGGGGATCTTCCCAATCCAGGGATCAAATCTACATCTCTTATGTCTCCTCCATTGTCAAGCAAGTTCTTGACCACTTGAGCCACCTGGGAAGCCCATGTTGTTCAGTTGCTCAATCATGTCCAACTCTTTGTGAGCCCATGGAACGCTTTACACGAGGCTTCCCTGTCCTTCACTATCACCCAGGCTTTGCTCAAACTCATGTCCACTGAGTTGGTGATGTCATACAACCATCTCATCCTCTGTCATCCCCTTCTCCTCCTGCCTTCAATCTTTCCCAGCATCAGGGTCTTTTCCAATGAGTCGGCTCTTTGCATCAGGTGGCCAGACTATTGGAGCTTCAGCTTC